CAATTAATAATAACGAATAGAAATGCTTTAATCTCGACTTGAAATTGAAAATTTCTATCTCTTAAGAGACTTGAAAGCTTTCTGAAGTGCTTTTTATTCGATAATAAATAATAATAACTGGCTCACATCATCTATTCTTTCATAATAATTTTTTTCCATAAAAACTAAAACGATAACATTTAAAAAATTGATATCGGAAGAGCGGTTTTATGCCATCAAAAGAATGGTGCTAACTTGTGCTATTAGATAATTCAATATGCACTTGAAACAGATATTGCAAACTCCCGAGTATCATTACGATAAATAGAACAATAATGTTCTTTTGTAGCGTTGAAGAGATAAAAGTCAATGGAACGAATTCAGGTGATTACGCTGCGCACGCAATCGTAGACATTAATCGGATTTGTTCCTTTGTTTCTATCTTCGTAAAGGGATGGAAGATACAAACAACGTGTTAGTGCCACGAATACGTTCCAGAATAATTGCGTCACCGTCGAATATTTCGCATCGCTGCTCGGCTGCCTTTTTTTGGCTTCGGTTGAGACGAGGTGGCTAGGCGTGTTTGCTCCGTAAACTGACAAAATTCGTTACAACGGCGGTGCGGGATAGAACATGTAGTTCCAGTTCGGCAATTAATTCCGTCCATCGTTGGACCGACCTCTTCATGCGCACTCTGCGGTCGTTCGTCCCTCAAATGGACGCGCCATCGTTTGCGTTATTTCGCATCAAAATACAACGGCGTACGTTGTTTTCGCTCGTCATCCGCTCAGCCGGGCGATTCCCGCATTTTCTCGCCGACGATTCCCGCATTTTCTCGTCGACGATTCAGGCGCAAACGTACGTTTATTCGTATGAAAAAAATATTTGAGAATAGTCTCGAGCGATCTGCCTGGCACCGTTTTCTTTTTGTCCCGTCACTATCTGTTCCTCGATCGTTTTTAAATCCCCGCCATATCTTCGCGGGACCGATGCTCCGTTTTCTGCGCGCGGCATCGCAATTCACGCTCGATTTAACTGGCAAAACGAGTTTCTGCGCGAGCATTGTCGCGACCTCTGAACGCCATAAGACCGCCTTCGGGGCACGAAATCATCCCATTCGTCGTTCTCTCTACTTTTCGTGGCGAGCTCAAAGCCGTTTAAATCTGATAGAAAAGAGAAAAGAAGGTGATATAGGTTAAAGAGAAGTACGTAATTTCGCTTGAATGTTTTTGCGCCGCTGTCAAAGGCTTTGCATCGTGGTTCGTTGTTTCTCCAATTCAGCTTTGGTATCTTGACTCCTTTGAGGGAAAGAAAGCCCCACGGCTTTCGGGAAACCGTCAAGTGCAATCTGAGACGTCCATCGTGATTCTCAATATCCGCATAATTTCACTTTGTCACGGTAGTCATTCCAGCTAGACGAACGTTCCGCATGCGGCGCCAAACTTCAAGAAAGAGATTGCGGAAGAAATTGTGCCGACGTCTCCGTCTATTTTCTATTCGTCTATCTGTCGCTCTTAGATATCTCGGAGTGAATTTAAACGGATATGAAAGAAACGTGATTTTATTTACGTATGTATGCGGCATAAAGTCGTAGTAAAGCGTAGACTCGAGTCTTTCTACATATCCGGCCTCATATGCAAATATATTTGGGAAGATTGCGACGGGATTTCCTCTGGACTTGACCGTGTAATGCTGCAGTATAAATCCGAGGAAAATGTATTCCATAGTCGACATGCTGAAGAGCATATTTGATACGTTGGCAAACGCTTACATAGTATTGTGTATGTCGATTATCACCTTCGTCGCTATATTTAAGGTATTATGTGCGCGAATATATTAAACGCTATTTGTAAATTTGTGGAATTAATTAATATTTCTTAATTAAAGAAATATTAAACTCGTTAAATATTCTTTCTTAATTAAAGAAGTATTAAATTTATTTCTTTTTTTTTTCATCTGTTTTGTAAAATAATAATTATTCGTTGTGTAAGGCAAATTTTTAAATTCTCATAGATTTTAGTTTTGTAGTTCTTTTTTTAATTTTGCAGTTAAAATATTAAATGTGACTTTAGCAATCTTTCATTATTACAACATTACAATTTTCGATTATAAAAAGGGTAAAACGTTTTCGTTTATAAAATAAATCTCATTAACGAAGAGTGGAAATATGCGAGACATTGTTAATGACGACGTTCAAGGTTGAGTAACAAGGTTTCAGACGCGATAGTAACGTTTTCACGCGAATGTTCAGAGGCGCCAACTTGGCGCGGACTCGTTTGCTCGCCTCGTTTTACTTGCATGCATGCGTTCTCCAGGTGCATTATCGCAGGAAGATACAATGCAGCACGCGGGAATTGCGGGTAGAAGGAAAATGCGCCCAGTGTTTAAGCGCTTTTTATTATGCCGGTTACGAATCAGTGGCTACGTAATTGGCTCCGAGTCCGCATGAACGTTTCTCGCGAGCGAAAACCAGAGGCGTATTCTCAATGTTCCACGTTTTATAGAAGTTAAAGATCAATTTTTTTTCCACTTGTCATTAAAACGGACGCACTCCATAATAATAACCACGTCGCCTCACAAATTTCCGAGTGAAATAACTCGGAGCGTTGTAACGGGAAACTAATTCCGTCTCTGAAATTTCATGACTCGCGAGTGATCCGAAGCTCTCGTCTTATCTCCAAGAGATAATGCGAAGTAAGCCCGATTCCCGTGACGCAATTGCACTTATTCTTATTTAAATCATCACGATCTTTTCCACTACCGAGCTAAAACAAGCGGGTAATTTAAAATTAAATATTTTATTTAGATTTTTATTTGCATATATCTCGAAATCTTTTAAATGGAAAGCGAAAAACTAGCCGTAATCATTCGGGTTTGTGATGCGTTTTCGTTGGCGTAATGTATCGGTCCTATTCCACTGACGGACGTATCGATACCGAGCTGTCAAATGCGCGGCAACATACATTGGTTCGTGCAAATGCAGCCAGAAACACCGTTGGTCAAGATTAGAGAGTATACGAGTGCGGAATACTGGGAAGATAGGCAAAATCCTAGTACCCTCTATCGTATCTCACCTGCATCCTGACACGAGTCGTTGATATTGCGGCTTTAGAGTCCTGGGGACTGTCAGATGGTGGAATGATTGGCTAAGATTTATGAGACACTGCTGATCTAACTTAGCATATCTTTGAAAAAAATAATATCTTTATATCCTGACAGAGAAAAAATATTTTAATTTTGTTTTTATCGCTTTTGCTAGAATGAATAAAATTTCGTAGTTGCTGTAACTAGTAAATTAAGTTTATAACATTCGTACATTGCTATGATAGAAATGTGTACTTATTTGATAATTGAGTCACTACTAATCTCGTTTAGCATACTTTTGAAAAAAAAAAAAAAAATATTTTTGTATTTTGAGAGAGAGAAAAACTTCCTTTTGTTTTTATCGCTTTTGCTAGGATAAATAAAATTTTATAGTTACCGTCACCAGTAAATTAAGTTTGTACTTCGTATATTGCTATGAAGGAAATGCATATTTATTTGGTAATCGAGATACTACTAATCTGGCTTAGCATTCTTTTTAAAAAAATTAATATGTTTATATTTTGAGAGGAAAGAACTTCCTTTTATTTTTATTACTTTTGCTAAAATGAATAAAATTTTGTAGTTGCTGCAATCAGTGAATTAAGTTTGTACTTTGTTTGTATATCACTACGAGAGAAACGTATATTTTTTTAGTAATTGAGATATTAATCTGGTTTTTGGCTTACTTTTGAAAAAAATATTTAATCCGTAGTTCCAGGTTCAAATCTTGGCTAAGGCAATATTATTTCGCAATAAAATTATTTGCAATTAACATTCTCAATTTTAATTCACAATTAACATCTGATTATTAATATTTTTTTATAAAAGTTACTATCACCATAAAAAATTATTAAAGTGCTTGTCAATAATGGTATATTCTTACTCTGATTCTGCTCATTGTATTTCAAAACCGAAAAAGATTTGGAGCGCAATTTGCAGAATTGAATATGTATTATATATAAATTCGCACAGAAATTGTTGTATCTGAGAGAGAAAAACTTACTTTATTTTATCATTTTTTCCTAAAATAAATAAAATTTAATAATTGTTGTAATCAATAAGTTAAATTTGTATATTACTAGCAAAGAAATGTATATTTATTTGGTAACTGTTCAATATAAATGCTAAAATATTTTTATTATCTTTTTTCTATTTTGCGCATTTGCAAAAGGATATTTCTGATTGAAGTCACAGACATATATTATACATACCTATATGCAAAGAATATTTTACTTTACTACGAAGAATAATTTAACTTGAATCTTCTGCAAGAAGTGGACTCGATTGGCGTACTCAATCGAGTGCTGCAATGTCAATGGAATTTTAATTCGCGTTTCGATATACGTGAATATTCTATAGCACTCTTTCAGGACAATCGCATTTCACCGAAGCGACGTAACGAATACATAATTGCATTTGATTGTCCCTTTTACGTTCTGGAATTTCGCGAAATGGACAATTGAGTAAAGTTAAGAGTCTCATCAATAAATAATTGATTCGGATAGTACGGTATTCGCAACGTCTCACACTCCAATGATTTATCTGCCGTACGTCGATTGTGTCGTCGATCAATAATGCACAACCGGAAGAGAGTTTAGTCTCCATCCGTTCTCTCCTTTCGTTCGTCCTAACTTCCTCCCCTAAAGCTAGTCTAGTCTTCGCGCTCGATCGGGTGGAAGTCGGTAGCTGTCATGGAAGATAATCTTGGATCTTGTCGTTTGATTGTATTTGCGTGCCAGACTACGAGCCTCTTCCACCTTCGCTTAACTCATCGCTTAAACTTTGTTGTGCTGTTTACTGTTTCAGGTGACCGCCGCCGATACGCGAAACGGGGCCGGAAGTCTCGTGCCTCGCAGTGGCCTTGTTCTGCTGGGCGAAAGACAAATCGGGCGGAAGCGTTCGTCAACAAGGACCGACGATGAGCTAGCGACACCATCATGCATAGGATGAAGCAGCGCGCGCTGCACGCCTGGCCATGGTTGTGGCTGTGGCTGTTCGCGGCCACGGCAGGCTCTCCGTCTTCCGACTACCCCGTGCCGACGACTCTTCTGCCACTACGTGGCGGCGGGGATGGAGGCGCGGGAAATGACGACGGTGATGGCAATGGTAGCGGCGATTCAATGAAGCCATCGATCTCGTCAATCGACACCGCGACGACTTTGCCGATCACGCTTGACACGAGTTTTTCTTCGGAACCCGAGTTCCGTTTCACGCAATCTCTGTACAACGTCTCCATTCCTGAAAATTCCATCGGTAAAACATATGTCGTGCCCGAGGAGAGAATGGGCATACAGCTCGCGTCCGCTGACAGTGACATTGACGTAAAGTTTCGCATAATGAGCGGTGATCGCGAGAAGTTCTTTAAAACAGAGGAGCGCACGGTCGGCGATTTTTGCTTCCTCCTGATAAGGACTCGAACCAGCAATGTCGATGTGCTGAATCGCGAACGCAAAGACCGATATGTGCTCGTAGTGCGTGCCACCTGGAGTAAACGCGACAGTAGAAACAGAGCGATCTTGCTCGAAGCGGACACCACGGTGGTAGTAACGATTCTCGACACAAACGATCTCAATCCACTGTTCTATCCGATCGAGTACGAAACCACCGTGACGGAGGACACGCCTTTGCATCGCAGCATACTCAGGGTAATCGCCGAGGACGCCGATCTCGGCAGAAACGGCGAGATTTACTATAGCTTCGCCGAGGAAACCGATCAATTCGCCGTTCATCCGGTCAGTGGCGTAATAACGCTCACAAGACCGCTCAGGTAAGTACAGTGGAGCATATTTTTTCTGGTATCTTAAATCTATAATAAATAATAGAAAGAATCTTATTTTCGGTCCAAGTGTCAAGATTATTACGCACTATTAATTGTTAAAGGAGCAATGATAACTCAATCTCTTGGGATAAATAACATTTTGTTATTTTTTATTTTTATATATGTCAGTGTAAGTCCAATCTATTTCTGTGGTTTCAAAGTAAACAAGATTCATATTTATATATGCATGTTCTTAGTAAATAATAAACAAAAATTTGAGTTAAATTTAATACATTTCCTTGAGTTAAATTATTTAATTTCATTGTTTTAGTTAAATTAACGACATAGAAACAGAATTACCTACTAATGATTAAAAATAATTTAAATTAGATGTTATTTGATATTATGAATTTAAATGCAATATTTGCTCCAATTAAAAAGGATTCGTTCTATTATTTAATTTACTTATGTTGGTCTAATTTCCATTTTATAAATTAAATTTGTTAATAATAAAATTAAATTTGTTAATAATACGTCGGAAATAAAATTCAAACATAGATTAAAACAAAGTTTGTAATCACGACGTGTTTTAAGCAATTCAAAGCAGAAATGCTTTGAGAATATAATTTTACTTAATTCGAACGGGAATTTAATGAATTATTCGATTGATTTTCAAAATAATAAAAGTTATAAATTGTATAGATATCTATTGTATATTACGATTTAATTTTAATTTTACTATTTTATCTTAAAAAAAAAAATTTGAATTCGAACTACTTTAGTATACCAAGAAATAATCATATATGCATGAACTTTTATGAATTTTTCAGATTAATTACGATATTTTTTTCTATTATTTTTTCCCCCTGCTTTGCATATTACAAATATTTATCGTGTACAACTTTGTGGCTGTTAATTTTTATTTATACATTCTGTTATTTTAACGAAGCTCATTAGCATATTAAATAACCTCTTCTTCTCTGTCTAAACTATCCATTAGACTTGTATACGCCAAAATGTTAGCAAACAGTTCATTTTCTCTGTTAGGTACGCGGAACGCGCTATACATGAGCTGGTAGTCCTAGCGAAGGATCGCGGTGCTTTGTTTCGCAGCGCAGGTAGTAGCCGCGCGAGCACCGCCAAAGTCACGATCAGGGTACGACAGGTGAACCTGTACGCACCCGAGATTTATGTGCATCAGTTGCCCGATATTGTCGAGAATTCAAATGCCGATATCTACGCGATTGTGCGAGTGATCGACCGTGACGACGGCGTGCACGGCCAAATTGCGAGCCTCGACATTGTGGGCGGTGATCCGGCCGGTCACTTCAGGGTACGTCCGGCCGGCGGGTCACGCTCCGGCGAGTACAACATCGAGGTACTGCACCTGCTTGATCGCGAGACTGCGTTACAGGGTTACAATCTCACCCTGCGCGCCATGGACCGCGGGGTGCCGCAGCGATACAGCTACAAATTTGTACCGGTGCACTTGGTCGACGTGAACGATAATGCCCCGGTGTTCAGTCGTGAGATCTACGAAGTCAAGGTACCGGAAACGGCGCCCATCAACACGCCGATCATAAGACTTAAGGTCACAGATGCCGACGAAGGAAAGAACGCATTGGTATATCTCGAGATAGTCGGCGGCAATGAGGGTGGAGAGTTTTACGTGAACGCCGAGACTGGTATGTTGTACACCGCTGTCAATCTGGATGCCGAAAAGAAAGCATTTTACACGCTGACGGTTTCGGCGATCGATCAAGGCAACGCCGGCACCAGAAAACAATCCTCGGCAAAGGTGAAAATTAACGTAGTCGACACCAACGACAACGATCCAATCTTCGACCAGTCGGAAATGGAGGTGATGATAGACGAGAATGAACCGGCTGGCACGTCCGTTGTGCGAGTTACCGCGAAAGATCGCGACTCCGGCGAAAATGCCTACATATCTTATAGCATCGATAACCTCAAGAAAGTGCCGTTTGAAATTGATCATTTCTCCGGTATCGTCAAGACCAAACAGGTGCTCGACTATGAGACCATGAAGCGGGAGTATTTACTGCACGTGCGGGCCAGCGATTGGGGCCTGCCCTATCGACGTCAGGCGGAGATGCAATTACGAGTGAAGTTGCGGGACGTGAACGACAATCGACCGCAGTTCGAACGAATCGATTGCAGCGGTCACGTGCCGCGATACGTGACGATCAGCTCTGAGATCATCACCGTGTCCGCGATCGACTTCGACGCCGGGAACATCGTCAGTTACCGCATAGTGTCTGGCAATTCCGATAATTGTTTCGCTCTCGACTCAGCCAGCGGTGTTCTCTCAGTCGCTTGCGATCTGTCGGACGTCAAGACGGCCGAGAGAACTGTCAACGTTACCGCCACTGATGGTACACACTTTGCGGATGTCAATCCCGTGCACATACATCTTGTGAATGCTAAACGGAATCTGGGCTCAGCGAGACTCCTGACAGATGAAACCGGTGCTTTCAAATGTCACGACACCGGCGTGGCGCGTAGATTGACGGACGCGATCGCCTCGGCAGAGAAGAACAACATGCCGTCGCGGGATGACGAGTACACCTTAATACCGAGTCGTTACGGTGAGAACGTGCACGCGCCCGAGTTCATCGATTTTCCGAATGAGATACGAGTCAATGAATCTCTCAAGCTCGGCACGATTCTCGTGCAAATACGCGCTCGTGATCGTGACCTCGATTATAATGGCAAGCTTGTCTTCGTCATATCTAGTGGTGACCGCGACTCCGTCTTTGGCATCGATCCGGATACCGGTGACTTGAACACGATCGGTTATCTGGACCGCGAGCGGGAGAATGAGTATTATCTGAATATAAGTGTATTCGATCTGGGCAAACCGCAGAAATCCGCCTCGAAGATGCTACCGATCACTATTTTGGACGTCAACGACAACGCCCCCAAGTTTGAGAAATCATTGGCAAGTTTCAGAATCTCCGAGACTGCGCTGAATGGCACTAATGTATGGCGCGCTAACGCCACTGACGCTGATCTCGGTGACAACGCTCAAGTCACTTACTCTCTTGTGACGGAAACCAATGACTTCCGTGTGGATCCTGTGACGGGTGTACTGAGCGTCTTCGGCAAGCTCGACAGGGAACGACAGGAGATATACGAGCTGAGGATTCGCGCGCGTGATAATAGCAACGATACACCACCTTTGCATTCGGACGCACTCGTCAGGGTAACAGTCGATGATGTCAACGACAACGCGCCCACCTTCGCGCTATCGAATTACAACGTCAAGATCCGCGAAGATGTGCCGATATGGACCGTCGTGGCCGTTGTTGATGCCACGGATCCCGATGAAGGCGCGGGTGGCGATGTAGAATACTTTCTGTCGGACGCAATGGAGAGCGAGGGTTTCTTCAAGGTTGACAAAGTGTCGGGCACAGTGAGAACGACTCAGAGTTTGGACTTTGAGGAACGACAGGTGCACACGCTGACGATAGTCGCGCGCGATCGCGGTGAGCCGTCCTTGTCTTCCGAGACGATGCTCGTGATCGAGGTGATTGACGTGAACGAGAACCTTTATACGCCAGTCTTCGATGACTTTGTCGTGTCCGCGAGTGTCTTCGAAAATCAACCCATTGGCACCCTCGTCACTACTGTTCGAGCCAAGGACGCAGATCCCCCCGGCGGAGATTCAAGGATCGGATACAGTATTCGTGGAGGCGACGGCGTCGGAATTTTCTCCATCGATAATGAAGGTGAGTGGTTATTTTAAAACAGTGATACGCAATCTATCTGTGAATTTTTTTCCGCACAGAAAGAATCATTTTTCTGAATATTTATTGTAAAAATTTGATAAAATTATGGATTTGAAAATAATTTGGATCTCAAAATAATTATGTAGGACACTCAAGCTGATTACTAGAATTTAATATTCTAGCAACCGGAGTGTCTTACATAATTATTTTGATATTTTCACAAGACAGAATTATTTTCAGATCTGTAATTAAATTTTTAGACACTTCAACAAAACTTTTTATTTATTTTTTTCATTATTTCATTCGTCAATTTTTATAGCTAAAATATAAAATATAAAATAATTTCTTTTTTTAAACGAAATAAACATGTGGCTCGAAAGGTTTTATCTATTTTTAAAAATGAAAAAAGTTGCACATAACTGATTTAAAAAATAAGTGAACCGTTTGAATATACCATAATCCAAGGAACTAATGAAAATATTAATCAATAAGATACGCGATCAGAAAAATTCTTTTTACGTTTAAAAAAGGAAAATAATTGAAAATGATGAAACCGAAATGAAGAAAGACTGCGATTTTCTAGAACACTGTTGAACTTTAATCGATATTGGCTGTGAGCACTCTTCGGCAATAACTTCTACATCTATATATGCTTCACGTAAATCGCCGCGCTCATATTGAATCCAAGAATTTCCAATCAAATATCGCAAGATATGCGCTTCCTTTGAGGAAGGAACGAAACGAGTATCTGGACCTTACCAAGATTTCTTAATATCCCGTTCAATAACCAACGAATGAAGTCCCGCGAGTTAAACACATTCGATCTCGCGTAGTAGCAATTTCAATTTACTCGTCGAAACACATATATGCTAGCTAGAGTTCATAAATGTCTTTACGTTAATAGATACTTTTAAAAAAGACCTAGAAAAAAAAGACGTGTCTACATATTCATAAATCACGAAGTTCTCAGTAAATAAACAGGAGACACTGAGTGGTAACTGAGAGAGGTAGCATTTGGCATGTGTCATAATTCAAACACGAGGTCAAAGTGCATGTGTGAGGATTTAAATTCGTGTCAAATAATTTAGTAGGAAATTTATTATTTCAGTCTCTTATTTTTGCAATGGATGTATAATTTGAATTTTTAATATAATTAGTTAAACTTTTATATACGCAACTTTACCTTACAAATACATGACGTTTTCTTGAAAAAAATTCTCGCGGAAACGTTCGCTTATTGTACGGGAATGTCTGATGTCTGTTTTTTTTTCCTTTCATTTCTTTTCCGGGTACTTCTGTTGGCTTTTCGGGCACAAAAGGGCGTGCAACGTGCGCGCTGTGCCCTTTCTGCATCGGACACGGCCCGCGCCGGACGCGTCGTGGCACCGTTCCAAGACGAAGTTGCAGCGTCGCGGCCCATTAAATTTCGATGCAGCGAGCCTAATTGAATTACGGTGCCGCAGGACCCCCCTTTTTTCGAGTGCGCGAGGCGCATTAAATTTCTCCGGCAGTCTCCTTTCACCGCGGAAACGTCTCTCGAGAAATCGCACGTCATTCCGCTTAATGGCTAATTCCTGTGTACCGGTGCCACGTCGGTCACGGCGGCAACGGTCATAATGCATCGATGATCGTTTCTTGATGAATGCACCGGGCGGGACGAATGTCTCGAGACGAAATAGATTTCTTGCTAATTCACGAGACACGCGAAAACGACACTTTGACGCTCACGTTAGGCAGCATTAAGATCTGTCGACTGTTGATCTGAGAAAAATTGAACGCGGTTAATGTTGAAGTTTATTTGATAGACAAGAACATTTTTTTTTCATGATAGTTTTTCGCGTGTCTCGCGATGACATTTCTGATTCAGTACAATTATATTCTTCTTAATCTGTTTCCACAATCAAGGTAATCGATTCATCAATGAAATTTATTCATGAATTTTTTGGTTACCTTTAATCTTTAGATAATCATATATTGTGAAATCGGGTCTAAGAGATGACCACCAGCATTCCAGATATTATATTTTTTTAAATCTTGTCCTGAAAAAAGAAAATAAAAGTATTGTCCAGATTCCCAGAAATTTTAATCTTTTATGGGTGAATATTTGTAACATTTTTTAAAATTAAATTGAGATAAATTTGGAATCTGCAGGTTATAGTTAACTGAAGATGGAAATATAATGTAGCATTAAATACTGAAATGTAAGTACTTCTGATCGTATAACTCCGCACAGATCCGGAATTTATCTCAAATTTAAGTGTAAGTATCGATTAGTAATTTTTGTGCAAAAGCAATGAAAAGATTATTTTTGACAATTGTTTCGAAAATTGTTTAATAATGAGATGCCTAGAAGATTAAAATTTATTATTTTTATATTTCCCTATCCCTATAAGAGTATAACTAATGTAAATTTAACTATAACATAATATATTTACCTATTAGGAAAAAGTATAACTGTAAAAAATTAGAAAAAAATATAACTATAAAATTAAAATTTTTAGAGGTATTTGGAGCATCTCGCTCTACTTAAAAGTTAAGAATAAATTGCGATAATTGTTTCAGTTTGCAATCATTCATGAAACATCGATGCAGGTTAAAAAATATATGACATCCATCGCCGTTGTTTGAGTATATTCGGCGTATTTTCAACGTTTGTTGAAATAGAATATGATTGTATACTGCACGTTGAAGTAAATGGTTTC